ATTGCATATTATCAAATGTGGAGTATTTAGCATTGCGTAATAACAAGTACTTTTCTGTATTCATATTGATAATAGGGCCTTCGATGACAGTAGTGTATTAAACTTCAGAATATTTGGAAAGATATAAAAACATTGCCTCAGATAATATATAAAAAAAAAAAGAAGTGATATTCATTTTCGATATGGTTCAGGTTACAAACTTTACATTTTCTAAATTCACGAGGAATATTGAACTGAACCCAAAACGAGACCTGATTTTATTTACAGTTATACTACTCAAACAGTTCTCACATGAAATGGATGTTTTAAACTGTGCATAATAAGCCATTTGGGGGTTGGGCGTAACATATTTAAAAACGCGGTTTTATTACCACATGTTTGAAAGTACCAGACATCACCAAATCCTAATCTAAAAGTAACAGATTTAAGTTTCGTTACCCAATTTACGTGGCCTTGTTCATCGTACAACTGCAGCATATTGTAACATTTTGGGGGTATACGAGATTACTGCATATTATAAAGAGACAGCCAATATTTGACACATTTCTAAACAGCGAGCGACTGAATAGAAAATCTGCCAGACTCAGTTCTATGTCATTGATCAACCCCTAAATTCCAGCCCCGTATAAAAGTATTGGTGTAATCTTTGTATCAAAACATTTTAAGTAAAAGTGTGGCGAGTATGGTTTCAAGGAATGTATACTAATTAACAGGACCATGAACACCTTTCTTGCCTCAATTGGAATATTATTTAAGCGTTTATGAAAACAACTGAAACAAAAAGGGATACACCCTTGACTCACACCCATGAAGTGAGTGAGTGAGTTAATATTTAAAGTCACATCGGCAATATTGCAGCCATATCGTGACTAAAGCGATTAATACATTAAGGAAACAATAATAATAATTAATAATAAACTATGTAAAAACCTGTCAGCAAAGGACAGTAAAATTACCAGACTTATCACAGATATTAATTTTTAAAACTAGTATGTGACCATAAAAAGCTATTACTAAACAGAACAATACATTGGAAAAACGGGCTATAGATCGCCAGCAACTGAAGGTACCCAGCAGGATTTACACCGTCCCTTCAGTCGCTGACGATTGTATGCAAGTTTAGCCATTGATTAAAACTAACAAATATACTGCGGTTAAAATCGTGGTAGGCCTAAATGCACTTCGAGTGATGTGGAACTTACGTATCCTCTCTGGGGGACAGTAATTTTACAGTGCTTTAACCCCTTTCGAGGATACAGCCACTGACAATCTCAGTTACTTATTTAATCTACCAAATTTAAAACAACATTTATTTATTTTGCTTAACAGACTAATAAAAAATGTTCAAATAATTCTATCCTTTTAAAAAACCAATGATTAAAAGAGAACTGATATTATTAAAAAGATCCTTGACAGATGAAGATTTGAAATAATTATCCTTTGTAATGGCAAAATCAACACAGTCAAGCAGGACATGCTTGACCGGGATTCTCTCATCACAAGGGATACAAAATGGAGGATCCTAACCTTTCAATAAATGTTCATGTGTATATCTCGAGTAGCCAATACGACATCGCCGCATTACGACCTCTTCAAATCTGGACCCACTAGCCAAGTAGCACACCCATGAAGCAACAAATATACCAGATACTCTGTTGTTTGAACGAACACATTACTGTACAAGGATTGTAACACTTTACCCATTTTAGCACTCAAACCATGTTTGTACAATGGCTTCCATAGATGTCGCCAAGCCAGCTGATTTAATATGTTTCCAGGCACTGATGCTTTCAAAAAGTTCTGGTGATTGTGGATTGGGTCGTTGCGGTCGTCCAGCCATACGTTTTATGATGTTCCAGAAACTTTTAGAGTTTACCGCTGCTGCATTTTCTAGGTCACTCCTTTTACATTGTGCAAACTGGTCCTTCTTGATTCCACACAGTTATCTGTATTCATTGCAAACTTTGTTTTACTTAATAAGGTATGAGTTATCTTTAGTTATTTCTCATTCATCATCATCGGGGAACATGTCACTCGATGCCAAACCATAATCTATCACACTATACCCTAAATGCCCAATATGAGGCACGGGTGGCCCAGTCGTCTAAGGCGCCGCGATTCGCTGTGCAGAGTTGCGTCCCTTGGGTACGCCAGAAACCTATGATTGTATGTTCGAATCCCGGTTCGCCCTGATTATGTTGCTATGTTTGTCAGCACCATACCCGTGCTCGTGGGTTTCACCGAAGTGGTAAACGTCTGAGGCATGCATCATTTCGGGCTTTCCTCCCACATTAAACTGACATTAAGCCGTGATATAAATAGAATACTGTTTAAAATGGCGTTAAACCCAACTCACTCACTCACTAAATGCCCAATAAATGTTCAGTCATCGATTTGATAGTCAGTTCCAAAACTTCCATTCACAATATGTATCTTCAGAATTGAACACATTTCCAAAAGAGTTTTTCCAAAGTAAATTATCACATGAATATCTTTCCATCTCAAATTGTGTAAAACATCTATTAAGTAATTACTACTTTCAACATGGTGAATAACATCGTTCTCCACATAGTCCCGCGTCACACCGGTTCTACTGTTCATGTACAATGGACCTGTGAAGATCCGGGGAAGAATAGGTCTTCAGCAACCCATTCTAGCCATAAAAGGCGACTATGCTTGTCGTAAGAGGCGACTAACGGGATCGGGTGGACGCGCTGACTTGGTTGATGCATGTACTCATATCCCAAATGCGTGGATCGATGCTCATGATATCGACCACTGGATTGTCTGGTCAAGACTCGATTATTTACAGACCATCGTCATGTAGCTGGAATATTGCTGAGTGCGGCGTTAAACAACAGGCAAAGAAACAAACAAACAAATCCAAATACAATGATAGAAACAGCTGGGTCTTCTTACAGTCTACTCAATAAAAAATACAACAAAATCTCTACCCCATTTTGTCTATCTCTGTTATTATTACCAGGTCGATCTCTCCTGCTGGATATACAATGTATGTAAACAAACATAATGTAGCGCTACTGAAACCAAACATACTTTTATCCAACAGAATAGTAATAGCATGTTATCTGTAGCGAAAATCAATAACACGTCTTACCAGTGAATATTTTATCAAAGGTATTCCTCTCGAATACCTCCCCAACTTGGACCTTTTACGAATTACGCTTATTACGAATAATTGCAAGAAACCGAGCAAAAACAATAAAAAACGTGAACATAGCAAAACGTATCCTATATTTCAAATCAAACTTTGTTTATAAGAATAGTTTATATTAAGGGGCGATATGTACGATATTAACCCCTAATGTAAAAAAAATAGTTTTACATTAAGAGTTGCGGGTTGTTACTCTTAATGTAAAAACGTAACCCTTAATGTTAAATGTTTTACATTAAGAGTAATTTTTACATTAAGGGTTGTAACACTGCTATGCGGCAAACCTGCCTCTTTTACGCCTTTCCATCCCCATGTGTTTCCTGTGCGTTGTCTCAGTCACCTAAATGCAACAAACAATGAGACACTTTCTGTATGAACTACCTTGTATGCAACTTTCCTAACAAAATTAAGTTGTTTTTTTCTGTTGGGTGGAGGTAGGGGTATGTCTCAAAACTAAAGGAGTTTTTTTTAATTCAACATTGATCCTTTCAACTTAACATTACCTGCAGTCTGTAAATAATCTGGACCTGGCAAGCCTGTAACTGAAAATATATGTACTATATACACTACACCGACAATTCATTTATTAAAATAAATACTTGGAACAAATGATTAAGCATCATGTTTTTAAAACAAACAACAATGTTTCCTGAATATGCTGGATGTTCTGCAAAATCTTGGGTGTTGTGAAAAAATATATTCAGCGCAACCCCGATAATCCGGATGAGCCGATCCTATTGTAACCGTCTGGATTAACGAATCTTTGCTTGGCAGTATTGTACCGATATGCGTTCCCTGAAACAGGTTTCTGATTCATTGAATCGAGACTAATGTGGTTTCACTTTACACAATAAAAACCTCTGTTGTTTTCTCACATGACCTGTTAATGATCTGTTAGAATGACCAAGTCTTTCATACTCAGGAAATCTCATGGTACCTTAATATTTGTGTAAATATCCATCTTAACAAAAACAAAATGTTCCAAGCTACTTATGATAGAAAAAGCGAAGTATTTCAGAGACGGTCTATACAAATTTGAACGTAATACTGTACTGTTTAATCATGTATTTTGTAAATGACATAAGGGTTGTATGAGTGAGTGAGTTGGGTTTAACGCCGCTTTTAACATTATTCCAGTTATATCGCGGCGTGTCAGCTTCATGTGGGAGGAAAGCCAGAAGTGATGCAGGTCTCAGACGTTTACCACTTTGGTGAAACCAACGAGCACGGATGTGTTGCTGACAAACCTCGAAACATAATCGGGGCGAACCGGGATTCGAACTAAGGGTTGTATCGGCCTTATATAAGGGTTGTATGTTCTCTGTCACTGTGTGTTCGATCAATACAATTTGAGTCAACCGAGGTTAGCACATTTATTTATAGCAAGAGTTAACCAGGGTTGACTTGATTCAACCTGAGTTGACCAGTGTTTATCAAGGGGAACCTTGGTAAAATTCCCGAAACACAAAGCATGCAATGCAACCTTTGCTATAATAATGGCTGCCAGGAGAAAGGAGGAACACAACAGCCGTTGCTTTAAAACACAACTATGACAGATTAAAAAGTTACTTTTTTGATAGGCATTTAGAAGTTGGAGTACTAAGTAAGGATAAGGATTACGATTAAGAGCGACGTTTCGGTGTAGGTTCTAACACCATTATCAAGTAAGTCATCAGTTGATATGTGTTTAGGTTGGTCAACCAAGGTTAACTAAGGTTATGCCTTGGTCAACGCGGGTTCGCCTGCGTCGTGCTGGGTTTTCAAATCGAACGCAAGCTGTATTTGTGATCCTCAAGAATAAACTTCTTCATCTTCTTCTTCACAGCACCATGTCGGAGAGAAAAGCTGTCATCAAGAATGCTGACATGAGCGAGGAATTGCAGCAAGATGCTGTCGAGTGCGCCACTCAAGCCATGGAGAAGTACAACATTGAGAAGGACATCGCTGCATACATCAAGAAGGAGTTCGACAAGAAGTTCAACCCCACATGGCATTGTATTGTCGGTCGCAACTTTGGCAGCTACGTCACCCACGAGACCAAGCACTTCATCTACTTCTATCTTGGACAGGTGGCTATTCTCCTCTTCAAATCAGGATGATCAATGCTGAAATAAGGAGACAATGGATAAACAGAAACAACTGTAGACAATAATTACTTATTATTTATTATTATTTATATATTATGTAATCAACCGCACGATAGATACACATCATATAATATGACTGTTCAGGTAACAAAGTGGGTATTGAATTATTTATATCAAAGTCACTAGGTCAGATGTGACGGGCTGGTAGCCTTGCGGTCAAAGCGTTCGCTCGTCACACCGATGACCACTGTTCGATTCGCGACATGGGTACAATATGTGAAGCTCATTTCTGGTGTCACCCGCCGTATATAATGCTGAAAGTGGCGTAAAACCATACTCACTCACTCACTCACTCACTCACTCACTACTTGGTCTGATTCTAGTTCTTCGTTGACATGCTCACGTGTCCATAGACTGTGTTTTTATTCTTGTGTTAGCTGTTGCTTGCCAAGATTTGACTATTCCAATGACAACTTGTACGATTAAGTAGCATTGTAATACAGCCAAGCATTTACACAAAACAAGATGCTCATCTAATGAGGATATCACTTTGTGCGTTTAAAATGAAAATTATGTCCATTACCATTTCTTCCTATGTGAAACATGTTTGATCTCAGTTTTCAACAATATTGGCAGATGATTGTTTGATGTTTTGTTGTAAAATGTTGACGTGTATGTTTCTAAAGTAAGACCACCCCAAGTTCAAACGCACGTCAAACAGCATTTAGTTACCACCTCGACGTCAACCCATTTCATATCCTGCCAACATGCAGCTAATGAGAATATTCAAGAATATATTTATCTTTTTTATCTCAATCTGTTGTTTATTTACCTATTGTTATGTTTGGAGGAAAATAAATAGCTATACCTAACTTTGTATCAATATGTATGCTATTTCAGTTTGTCATTTCTCTTAAAACATGTTCCCCATTTTGATTGCGGGTTGGAATAGGTCCAAGCAGCAGCAGCTTGTCGTAGATCCTTTTGACATTGAGATTGGTTGAATGCTTGTGGACAACGTGGTATGTTGCACCTAATATTACTGGTTTATCTTGTCCAAACTAGATTATTTATATTATAAAGCTGGAATAAGACTGAGTGCGGTGTAAAACAACAAACGGACACAGACCCTGCCACTTCAGAATCATCGTCATGCTCACATTGATGGTTGTGGTATTGAAGTAAGTAAGGACTTAATGGTTGCAGCCTAATAGTCCCGTTGGCGTTCTTGGTCAGAATAGCAGATGAGCCTACTAATATGATGATCGAGTGGTTCCAAGGTGTGACAACGGCGTTGATCGTTGCTCTTGCTGTCAACCACTACTTTGCTTGGCCCAGACGCTGTTATTTATAACCTGTCGTTACATAGCTGGAATATTGCTGACTGGGGCGAGAAACGACAGTAACTCCTGTTCAAAGCCCTTGGGGCCCTGGTTAGAATAGATCACCTGCACCACATTGCTAGTCTTAATCGGGTTGTCAGTCTCTGTCTGTGACTTGGATGATTTCGTGTCATCGTACCCAGATGGCGTGGATAGTGTCTCATGTTTTAATCACTTGTTTGTCTTGGAGTGACTCAGTTATTTGCAAGCGCCCGTGACATAGCTGGAATATTGCTGACTGCAGCGTTAGACAGCATCCTCATATTCATTCAATCATTTCTGTATGTGGGATTGGGATCCGGGTTCGAACCAATGACAGGGAATCAGAAAATACCAGTAACAGATGAATATTTATGTTTATATCATTTTCTTATATATCTGATGAGACTCGTGAAGATCAGGGGTGGAATAGGTCTTCAGCAACCCATGCTTGCCGTAAAAGGCGACTATGCTTGTTGTAAGAGGCGACGAACGGGAGCGGATGGTCAACCAGGCTGACTTGGTTGATGCATGTCCTCGTTTGTTTACAGACCGCCGTCATATTGCAGAGTGCGGCGTCAAACAACAAATAAACAAAATAAACTAACGAAATGTTTCAAATAATAAATAGGATTTTTTAATAGTATTAAAACAGGGGCAGGGAAGTGCTTATGGCACTTGGCGTTCCCAGTTGTACGTGACACGGTACATAATAACACTAGTCGAACACTTGCGATATTGTTACGCCTCACATAATGAGTTCCTGTAACTAACTTGATTCGATGGCTCTTGTTAGTGTCGGACTGGTTTTACTTGTTGATTCCCAAATTAACACGCGAAGGTTAAACACAAATTATAATGAAACTCACACTAATATAAGGTCAAAGTATGAGGCAGCAGCAATATATAAATATATCGGGCCCTAATTACTAAGTCAGTGCACTCGCGATTAACCATTACATTGAAATATACAGGAAAAAGGTTACAATCATATAAGGCAGTACAATGGCTCAAATATGTTATAGCAGGAATATTCAATAATAGGCCCTATTTCAAAGATCAGTGCGCATACCAATGTACAGCATTTATCTTGGATGAGGCAGGTGCCTCGTTCTTGATTCCAAGAATCAGTGATTGAAAATAGCCAGACCCAAGTCATCACAGCGGAGCTATATATACCGGGAAGGCAACGAACGTGACAAGTGCTGGGATGGAGTTTGGACAATATGAGGGAATGTCACATGAAAAGAGAACTTTCCATCCGATTGGCTGATCACTTATCAGTATTTTCTGCTGAACTTTTATTTTTTTATTATTGAAGAGTTGCGTTGGAATATTTTTTGAAGGCCTGTATCAGTGGTAATTTTCAGTGACTCTGTCAGTGCATTGCAAGCAATTCGGGTAGTTTCTTCCTCAGCGAGGCAGGACTTCATCAACAATATTCTCGACCTTTATAATAACTTAAGTAAAGATCTGTTAGATATTGAATTTTCATGGATCCCCGCTCATGTTGGAATACTTGGAAATGAGAAAGCTGATAAATTGGCAAAAGCTGCATTAGAATTTGATGAATCAGAACAGGATGAAACAATTTTACCTTCCCCTGCAGAGTTAGGCACCGTCAGCATGATACATGCTGAAACAAAATGGCAGCAGAGATGGACATCATCCTTAAAAGGACGTCATCTCTATGGCATCGATCCTTTTATCACTGAATTACACATATCTAGAAATAACCGGAGAGAGGAGGTTCTATTAACCAGAGATCGTCTTGGTCCTGGTGCACATCTTAATGTTATTAATAATGTCATTTCTGTCAGTCAGCGTAAGGCAATGATGGAGTCTAACAGTTCTCAATACTGACCTCTCATTGGCTGGACTTTTATGTTCTAGGAATATTGTTCGCCATGACGTTCAGAATGTCGTTCTCGCTTACAATAAAGCGGGTGGCAGTTTTACAAGTTTATAAATATCTAGGTACTTAGCAAACCTTTATTATGGGCAAGGTATAAATGGGCCTAGTTGCCCGAACACCTATAAAACTTTAAATGATCAATCAATCAATCAACGACCAAGCTCAATATTATACGAGCGCCTCAATCAATTTGCCACTTTCTATAATTAGAAATAAAGCTACACTACACACTGCCACAAAACACTCTACATAAAATAATGCTTTGGTGGGGAATTTGTCGAAGGCATTTAGCATAATACGCTTGATATTCAAGGATACTTTGGAGTACGATGACACACAATAAACCAATAGACCCGTGAAGATCCGAGGTAGAATAGCTCTTCAACCATCCATGCTTGTCGTGAGAGGCAACTAACGTCATCGGGTGGTCAGTCTCGCTGACTTGGTTGATGCATGTCATCGATCCCAATTGCGTGCGTGTGGGGGAGGGGGGAGGGGTGGTGATAGCATAATAAGCACTGACCAACGCCGTCAGGGTGCGCTGATTCGGAACACAGTCAGCAAGGTCACCTTCATTGCTCGGCTGTTTCGAGAGATGTTTGGATCTGTTTTACACCAGACTCCCGGCATGCAACTGAGCAAACCTAGTAGTGAAAATGTAGAACACGACCCATATTGTCAGTGTCTGCTGTCACATAACTAAACAGTGAATTTTCCTGTCGGTCACATGCTCAGGTAATAGCCATACTCAGCAGCCATTATGACTATCTACAATCTCATTAAAATCGTAACTTTACCTCCGATACGATACCTCTCTGCATGAAGGTCTGAGGACGCCGCTTCCAAATAAACCCATCAGCATCAGGGCTTCTATATCCTCGGTACGAGTGAGCGACGCATTCAGACAAGCATATCTACTTTCTATATCTCGAGAGCGAATATCATCGAGGAATTTCGAAAGCAAAAACGGAAATATTGTATGGATCCAGTTTCAGTATCGATGGTATATGTGTGTTCAGTGGCAGTTTTCTTTTGCTAAAGTCTATATTTCCGAAAGAACGTGAGCCGAATCGTTTCAGAAAGTTGACATGTCCTTAACTCGAGATCCCATACATTCTTAATTAAATAGACCGGACGGTCATTGTTCGCCGAGGATCTTCTAAAGAGGTGGGGGCACGGGTTGCCCAGTCGTCCAAGGCGCCGCGATTCGCTGTGCAGAGTTGCGTCCCTTGGGCATGCCAGAAACCTTTGATTGTGGGTTCGAATCCCGGTTCGCCCCGATTATGTTTCTAGGTTTGTCAGCACCATACCCGTGCTCGTGGCTACAGAAGTGGTAAACGTCTGAGACCTGCATCACTTGGGGCTTTCCTCCCACAACAAGCTGACACGCCGTGATATGACTGGAATACTGTTAAAAGCGGCGTTAAACACAACTCACTCACTCTTGCTACTAACAATGAATTTCGGGGTTTATTCTGCTCCGAAATTCCTTTGAGGGTTTATGAATAAAATTCTGTCCAAAACGGGGAAATGGAGGACATTGTAACCGTACAATACTGTACAGTTACCTAATTCATCAGCTTATGAGTCAACGAGTGTTTACCACTGCAGTCAGCGTTATCCCATCTACGTCACGGCGGTTGTAAATAATCAACTCCTGGGCCCACTTGCACAAAGCGATCTTAGCGCTAAGATGATCGTAACGCCCATTCTTTAACATACGCTTACAATAGTCTTAGCGCTAAGATCGCTTTGTGCAAGTGGGCCCTGAACCAGACAAACGAGTGTTTGGTGCAACATACCACGCCTTGGACTGCCATCATACACAACATGAGACAAAAGGCAAAATCTCGACATCTTGGCTCAGTTAAATCAAGAGAACCGCAACGTAAAACGTCCCGAGTTTCCCCCGTTTCCTGGACCGATGTCAACATATTTATCCATGTACAGGCAAGCATTATTTCTAAATGCAACACTACGCAAAGACATATACATTTCTTGATATTCATGAGCTGAATAGCAAACAACAATGCGATAAAGGGATACACGATTAACGTACGGGGGTTGATTGATATGTTCTGGGTTACAACCCGGGTTGTCTAACTTTTAGAGCTCCACTAACCATGTCTTACTATGCATGAGTGCTTTTTCCACGACTCAGTGTAATCCGCGTAGTCACTGAACCGTATAATATGTCTGGGAGAGACTCTCCATGGGCATAGGGGTTGGGAAAACTTTAAAATGTATACAATATAGAGATTAAAAGTACTGTTTTTATTCAAGTACCTAGTAATGGGATGAGGTTAATTAAAGTTTTGGGTTATTTTTCAAATAAAAAATGTAAGTGAACTGAGATAGTTTGACAATACAGAGATTAATAGCAGATAAAAGAATCAAGCACTAAGTAATAGGATAAGATTAATTACAGGGGTTTTTTTTCATTTAAGGACTGTAAGTGAATTAATTAACTAAATGCGTGAAGTATAGTTGTAGTTCCCATACAATTCCTAAAACACCAATTTCAGTATAAAAACCATGTCTCTTTAGTCATCCAACACTATGACCAATTATGGAGAATGCAATAGTAGATTTATCTCTTCCCCCTAACCTTCACGGTGGTAGAGGTGAGGTTCGGTGAGGTGAAATTGGGTTTAACGTCGCGTTTAAGATTATTGCACTTATATAGCGTGTGTGTGGCTGCTTGTACTAGTCCGGACTGATGCCGATTTATAGTGCTAGCCCACTGAGATACCATGCTGCAGTTTAACATGAATACCCCACTCAGACACAGTATACTGACTCCGAGCCGACCAGTCCATGTTTTAGCCCCTTAATGCCGAGCGCCAGACAGGGTAACAACAAGTACCATCTTTTAATGTCTTTTGGTATGACGCGGTCGGGGATCGAACCCCGGACCTTCCACTCTACCACTAGACCACGGAGGCGGTCTTCACGGTGGTAGATGTGCGTATCATGCAGGCCGCAAGTGCTCTATGAAGAGAGAAGAGGGTGGCTGTGTGTACCGGAAGTGCATAGACAGAATGAATGATTTGCTTGTAAAACTTGGTCCAACTCGACATTGCCATGAAGAGAACCCTTATCTCCAAGATGTGGGTTTCTTCCAGCTGCACCTGCTTCAACAAGCCCGTTCAGAGACCACATCTTTTTGTTCTAATTTCGTGCATCCATGGTCACAGTTATGGTTGTTCAACATTATGTTTGTGGCTCTTAAATGAATAAATAAATAAGGAAGATTTGTCTATTTGTTTAAATTTCATGCATCCCTGTTCACAGTGGGTTGATCCACATGCCTGATTTGTCTAACCACAGGACAATGTAACTAATAATAATATAAAAATGGCCAAACTTCGGCCCCGTCTACGAAAATGTTTGCGATTTTTATTATTATTATTATTTTTAGTTACATGGTCCTGAGGTCGAAGCAGCAAAGCTACTCACCCCTGACAATTGCTACTGCTTACCCGTTTTCAAAAAATTGACGAAGCGGGTTGATACCAAGTCCTCAACCTCGCATAGAAGGTATTGAGTAAAAGTGAAATCTTTTGCTGTGGACATTCCATGACTCCACAGAGGTATATCCACAAAAGTTGAATAAATTAAACAAATGGTTTCACTGCGACATGTCAGGAAGCAGAGGAGTGTGACCTTTGCCAAAAGGACACATTTGAGGAACGTGCATTGATCAAGTTATTGTAGGAAAAGGGCTTAACACTGAAAGCCATCCATGAAGATGTGAGTTCGGAAAGATGCCCCTTCCAAGAGGTGAATAGCAGAGTTTGTTTGTTTGTTTGTTTGTTGTTTAACACCGCACTCAGCAATATTCCAGCTATATGACGGCGGTCTGTAAATAATCGAGTCCGGACCAGACAATCCAGTGATTGACATCATGGGCATCGATCCACGTAATTGGGATCGATGACATGCATCAACCAAGTCAGCGAGCCTGACCACCCGATCCCGTTAGTCGCCTTTTACGACAAGCAGAGTCACCTTTTACGGCAAGCATCGGTTGCTGAAGACCTATTCTACCCCGGAATCTTCACGGGTCCAGGAGAATTTAAGCGTGGTAGGGAGCGTCCTGAGAGACGCCACCACCCTCGAAGGCCTGTCACGTCAGCAACACCAGACATAATCCAGAGAATCCATGATATGGAGGTGACCGACTGACGAATGACTGAGAGTCACATTGCTTGTTATGTTGGCATTTTCCAGGAGTGACTGCATACCATTATCACAGAAACGTTGGCAAATCTTTGGGTTCCAAAGATTTGATATCTGATCAAAACCTCACCAGACACAACATAGCTCTGTTTGACTGAGTGACGTGGGAGGCTAAGAACAGGTGTGCTCTTCATCGGGACAATGCGCCTCTACACAAAATCATTCACGGACATAGCTACAATCCACGAATATGACTTTGAACGCCTTCAGCAGCCACCTTATTCTCCTGATCTGGCATCGTCATACTTCCATCTGTTCCCAATCACAAAGAAAGGTCTAGCAGAACCCATTTCGACTCGAACTATGACGCCATAGCAGCTGTGGCGGTATTTTTATATACCCAAGAGAAGGACTTCTACGAAACTGGGATAAAATCCCTCCGACATCGTTGGCAAAAGTGTTTCAATGTGGAAGGGGATTAATGTGTTGAAAAAGTTTTATACGTGAGTCTCAGAACTTATCAATAATTCAACGACACCACACAGGCTTTGGGTATTAAAGGTCATTTTTGCAACGAACCCGCACGGGACGGGTTAAAACACATAAACTCAGATCTTTGATATTTTCAAATTTGTTTTACGGACGTGTTTTTGTGAAGGTCACGTCCGTGGTTGGAGGTCAAAATGAAAATAAAAACAAAATTGAAAAAATCCAAAAACAATTAACAGTATAGTCGGTAGGGTTAACCGAAAAAATTATGCACGACCAGTCTTACAACTGTTAAAGCAAATTCCGGAATGAGTTGACAAAGGTAACACTCATTACAAACATACTCCCTTTCATATCATTTACCTTACTGTCCACAAAGACGAACCTATTCCCACGACATATTAAGTTTGTGTTTGGCGAAATATTATACCATTCTCGGTGGGTATAAAAATGACCGTTTTAATTAATAGATTTCATTTTATTATACTTTTGTGAAATCGAGCGTTGGTGAGTCATTAAACCACGATCAAACTATCTCAGCTGAGATTAATCTTAACAACTAACTTTCAACGATAAGATATCTTAAGTCTAAGATAAGATAAATTTTCGAAACTATCTTAAATATGTCGCACTTCGTACAAGGTTACAATACCTATCGTGACTCTGACAGAGAACTCATTTGTGTTAGAGATTGAAAAAGCGGGGTGTTTCCCAGTGACGTCACGGGGATTTCCCAGCCGCTGACAAAAACAACAACATGGAGAAGATACACGGAATTCATGATCACATTGTCAGGTCACATTGTTTAACACGCAACTTTTCGAGTGACATTCCATACAATCCTACATATATCTTACTTGTAGACGTTTTGTTCTTATGACAAAACATGCCATGTAGCATATCCCGCCCGTTAAACTACCACGTGGGCCAATATTCTTTTCTGCACACTTCTTTACACTAAATGGTAATCTTCGCGAAGACATGAATGCACTTCGGGCATTCTTCCCACATCACATCTGGCCGTCCTTGATTTAACTGAAATACTGTTCAAAGCAGCGTTAAACTTAACTCGCTTATTCACTACAATACAGTGTTTGTCGGTAGTTTAAGCCGTTTGTAGTATTGTTCGCTAACTCGTCGCGTTTTAACTAAAATACACAAGTCTTTGACGTTTCCACTTTAGCAAAACCCACGTGTAGATGTATGATGCTGACAAACAAAACAAATGATCATTATATGTTTATATCTGGGATTCGAACACATATCACCGTATCCTTGAATGATTAAGGGGCGCAACTTTATACAACCCCTTAGATCACTGGGCCACTCGAACACCCATTCACACTAACAAAATCAATCCACCAAACTCCATGTCCGGAGAATGAGCATCCTCATCAAGTTGTATGTGTGGATGTTCATACAGATTAGTAGAAAGACCATATTGCTGTCGCATTATTTATTGGTCCACATAACAAGGTAAATAATAAATAATATAAGAGACAAAAATGCCCTCAAATATATTCATATATCATCCACGTGTTGCGGTCTCATCTCAGACCGAATCTGAATATTGTAACAGAAAAACTCACAAATATTCATTCCATCTGTCAAAGTCTCTAAATCATTAAAAATGATCAGTGGCAGTTGAGATAAATATGAGATGTGACAAAATATATCAATGACGTTAAAGCTGTCCTTGTCTTGCACCTCAAGGGTACCACATAATAGTCAAGGGTATCGCACAGTACACGGGAATCCGGTTCCAGAGTTCTGATGCATCTTTTTATATCCATGTACAGCCACACATTGTGTGTTAAACCACAGGATGTTGATCAGCCAAATTGCAGGATCTCCACATTGCCAGATCTGTTTAATACTTCGGACGGTTGTATTCATTCTATGCCTTTTCTACTCTATTCAGAAGCATTGCTTTCTTAAGGTAATGTCAACTCTCCGGGTAAGTCTGGGTTGACTACATACAAGGAGATGTCAGAAGACATGTTGTACTTGTAGTCATGGAAACCCGTAGGAGACACAGGTTATCCTGATTTGAAGAGGAGAACAGCCACCTGTCCCAGATAGAAGTAGATGAAGTGTTTGGTCTCGTGGGTGACGTAGCTGCCGAAGTTGCGACCGACAATACAATGCCATGTGGGGTTGTACTTCTTGTCGAACTCCTTCTTGATGTATGCAGCGATGTCCTTCTCAATGTTGTACTTCTCGAGGGCTGCTGTGGAGCAGTCTACAGCATCCTGCTGCATGTCCTCGCTCATGTCAGCATTCTTGATGACAGCTTTTCTCTCAGTCATGATTCTGAAATACAAAAGACAAAACAATATACGTCAGTATATACGACAGCTGTGGAAATCAAGTCTTGACAAAATCACACATTATAACCAAGAAATTAGAGCTGGGACGGGTAACTCGGGTACGCGGATCGGGTGGTTCCTGAGTCGGACCCGGATACCCACAGGACTACCCGGACCCGTGGTTAGTCACGTGATATATAGTTTTATGGCAAAAAATATCTAGAACTTCCACGGTTACAGTATAAGTGACTAATGTTCACATATATTTCTGACTATGCACGCATTCCTTTACATGTTTAAATATAGATAAAACTTCAGTCAACTTCAGTTAATGCATGACCAGTATCTATATATATTTACCAAGGCCACGGTCAGACTATTCAAAATGGGAGTTTTAGACATATCTCTCGAGACCAGGTTATAATAGGGTCGGGTAATAAGGGGGTAGGTACCCGGGTAGTAAATTTTGACTTATCCTAGCCCTACAATAAATCCTCTTTTTCGTCAACTCAGGTGCTGGAGATCAATTGCAAGGCAAGCATGACGTACTGGGGGCCAAGTCAGCCTCGGACTCACAAATCACAAGGGGCCTTCAATGGTTATTGTAACCAACTACATCATGTGTTTGTCTAACGAGCTGATGTCAATGTCAGCGTTTTATCTATCTATTATCTACATTTTGTTTTCTTTTCAACACGGTCGTTTTAAGGCAACTCAAATTCAATCAGAAAATATCCTTAACTTGCTGTGATTTACAATTATGGAGATGAATTATTGGCAATAGAGGATTTACTAGGTACAAGGTATAGTTAAAAAAGTTCCAAATCCAAAATATCAAATATGTTAAAGTAGTTGTTTATAATCAAAACCATATAAATGAAATATATGTATATGGTATGTTATAATACGACCTGTAGGTTCTTTATGATGAAATGTTCAAACCATCAAGAGTGAGTAAGTTTGATTTTACGCCGCTTTAATTGGGAATCGAACCCGGATCTTTGGCGCGAAGAGCGAACGCTTTAACCACCAGGCTGTCCAACCGCCCCAAAACCATCAACAACGAATACCAATAAATACCTGAAAGATGAATATAGGCAAACAACATCAGTAACTTACGCTATGTATGCAGTATAGCAGTTTAACTATATCTGAATGTACACGACCAAACAAAGATGAGACAATATACATTGTATATACTTACGTTTTATATCAATGATGGGTCTATTGTAAATGTAAACGAGATTTGCGATATGTGATATCTGCATGTTTTAGCTCAATATATACACACCGGTGCAACTTTCAGGTAAGTAATCCCTTAACAACCACGCCACGCTTTGAATAGCAATGCTATTGGTTAATCGCTGTTTGATGACTGGCTGAGGCGGGTATTCACTTTAGGAGGTTTTAACCTCCCAGCATGCCAAAAGCGCGCGATGTCAAACCACCATATTCTTTTTCAGGGGGCATAATATATTTTGGACCATTTACAAATTATGACTACTCAAAAGACCAAAATGATCGAATTGGTAGGAGTATTGAAAGTACTGATGTGCAGTATACGGGTTCGAATCCCTGGATCGGGGAATATAGTTCTGATTAAAGATGTTGTTTTTTGTTTATATCTATATGGGGATGTTTGACAGTAAACAATGCCCATATAATTTCATTATTTATTTCAGAACATTCTGTGATCTCTATTCTCAAACCCATATATGGTCTCTGCGGAGAGAATGAAGATGTCCATTTTACAATGGGTATCCTTGGCCCCGTTCTACAAAGCGATCTTAGAGTTATGACCGTAAATGTTAGAGTAAGGTTTTGACTGAACCCCTTATCTCTCATTATTGTGAGGGAATTAACTTATGTCTTACCATGATAGATAGGAGCTTCGGAGCCCACGTAACCATTTTGTACGGCCATCCATTGTTGTTATGTTTTTCTCATCTCCAACCTAAACAAGCGCGGTCGGACGAAATATAAAAAAATTATAATATTAACAAATTTTACACTAAATGTCTAACTTGTTTAAATTTTAAAACACTTGGTACCAGTGTTTAAATTAATTTATGACGTAGATGGAGCCCCTTTTGCTTCAGCTGAAGAACGATATCTATTCACTTACTCACTCAAACACACACACCCCACTCACTCACTCACTCAAAAACACACACACACACATCACTCACCCACTCACTCACTCACTCAAACACACACACACACACACCACCCACTCACCCACTCACTCACTCACTCACTCAAACACACACACGCACCACTCACTCACTCACTAACATGACTATTCATAGAGAATGATGGTGACCAAAAGACTAATTGCCTACTTCTGTGACTAGACAGGTAGAGATCGATATTGTCCCTTCTCACAACCTTTAAAAAGTCCTGTGAGTGAGTCAATTGTTGCTGATTTGTCAAAATGCATACGGACTCCTTATTGATGTTGCAACACTCAGAGGGACACTGATGTCGTTTTTAGAAAAGAATTAGGCAGTTATCGGCGTAAAATTGTTGATGTGTGTAAAATAATATCCACTCACTCACTGATTCACTCACTCACAGGACTTTTCAAAGGGTGTGAGAAGGGACAATATCGATCTCTACCTGTCTAGTCACAGAAGTAGGCAATTAGTCTTCTCGTCACCATCATTCTCTATAAACAGTCATGTTAATGAGGGAGTGAGTGTGTGTGTGTTTGAGTGAGTGAGTGAGTGGGTGTGTGGGGGTGTGTGTTTGAGTGAGTGAGTGAGTGAGTGGGTAGGTGGAAGGTGGTGTTTGAGTGAGTGGGTGGGTGGGTGTGTGTTTGAGTGAGTGAGTGGGGGTGAGTGTGTGTTTGAGTGAGTGGGTGAGTGGGTGGGGTGAGTGTGTGTTTGAGTGAGTGAGTGGGTGGGTGGGTGGGTGGGTGGGTGAGTGAGTGAGTGAGTGAGTGAGTGAGTGAGTGAGTGGGGTGTGGGGTGTGTGTGTTTGAGTGAGTGAGTGAGTGTGTGGATATCGTTCTTAGGCTTAAGCAAAAGCGGCTCCATCTACGTCATTAATTAAGTTAAAGACTGGTACTAATTTTAAAATTTAAAACAAGTTACACATTTAGTGTATTATTAATATTAATTTTATATTTTTTTATATTTCGTCCGACCACGCTAGTTCGGTGGTCCGCTGGACTAAATTTGAGAAAGTGCCCATAAATGCGAAGCTAATTTCCAAAATAGGGTCCATGAACTTTTATCGTACAAAATTACCTCCCATTGAATGTTAGGTACGTTTTTGGGCACAAGGGTCACCGTAGCGTAGCTCATCACCAAGGTGAAGCATCTGAGAGTTATTATAATTGGACATCGCGCGCTTTTGGCATGCTGGGAGGTTAAAACCTCCTAAAGTGAATACCCGCCTCAGCCAGTCATCAAACAGCGATTAACCAATAGCATTGCTATTCAAAGCGTGGCGTGGTTGTTAAGGGATTACTTACCTGAAAGTTGCACCGGTGTGTATATATTGAGCTAAAACATGCAGATATCACATATCGCAAGTCTCGTTTACATTTACAATAGACCCATCATTGATATAAAACGTAAGTATATACAATGTATATTGTCTCATCTTTTTTTGGTCGTGTATTTTCAGATATAGTTAAACTGCTATACTGCATACATAGCGTAAGTTACTGATGTTGTTTGCCTATATTCATCTTTCAGGTATTTATTGGTATTCGTTGTTGATGGTTTTGGGGCGGTTGGACAGCCTGGTGGTTAAAGCGTTCGCTCTTCGCGCCGATGGTCCGGGTTCGATTCCCAATTTAAGCGGCGTGAAATCAAACCTAGTCACTCTTGATGGTTTACACATGTCATCATAAAGAACCTACAGGTCGTATTATAACATACCATGTCCATATATTTCATTTATATGGTCTTTGATTATAAACAACTACTTTAACATATTTGAAATTTTGGATTTGGATTTTTTTAATTATACCTTGTAGTTAGTAAATCCTCTATCGCTAATAATTCATCTCCATAATTGTAAATCACAGCAAGTTAAGGATATTTTCTGTTTGAATTTGAGTTGCCTTAAAACGACCGTGTTGAAAAGAAAACAAAATGTAGATAATAGATAGATAAAACGCTGACATTGACATCAGCTCGTTAGACAAACACATTATGACTGTTGACTGAAGTTTTATCTCTATTTAAACATGTAAAGGAATGCGTGCATAGTCAGAAAGATATTTGAACATTAGTCACTTATAGTGTAACCGTGGACGTTTTAGATAATTTTTGCCATGAAACAATATATAACGTGACTAACCACTGGTCCGGGTAGTCCTGTGGGTATCCGGGTCCTACTCTGGAACCACCCGACCGAGTTACCAGTCCCAGCTCTAATTTATTGGTTATAATGTGTGACTTTGTCAAGACTCGATTTCCACAGCTGTCTGCGGCGGAAACCAACTTTTACTCACTTATGTATCACGATGACCTGAGACATTTTGTAAGCTTCTACAAACCGACGACAGCACATTGTTATCTAAATGAGCAATTATTTTTATTCATATTGTCACTTAAGGAACACGAATGCTTGAAGTACCAGTATACATAAAACAGTGTTACAATATTGATAACTATGAGAAATGTCTTTCAAATACTCATTGTACAGGTTGTGCGTTTCCACCCTTGCCGAACTAGGCTGGAATTCCGGAGTTACATTTTGGCTGGACTAACGAGTCTGTGCACAGTCCAATCAAATTCGCATAACAAACTAGACATCCGGTTCGTAAACAAGATGGATTTCAATATAGATAGAGCCCAAAAATTCCAGCCAAGTCCGGCAAGGGTGGAAACTGGACTTTTCTAGTCCGTTAACGCCCTTGCCTCGGGAGGATGGACCAGACGATCCCGTTAGTCGCCTCTTTCGACAAGCATGGGTCGCTGAAGACCGATTCGAACCCGAATTTTCATTAGAGAGGCTGTGCTGTTGTTACAGTAAATGCATATGTTGTATACATGACGTACTATAGGCCTAATTGTTATAGATACAGAGAGTGAGTGAGTGAGTATGGTTTTGCGCCGCTTTTGGCAATATCCCAGCAATATCACGGCGGGGGACACCAGAAATGGACTTCACACATTGTACCCATGTCGGGAATCGAACCTGGGTCTACGGCGTGAAGAGCGGACGCTTTAACCACTAGGCTACCCGACCGCCCCTTATAGATACAGAATATACAATAACAATGATACGTCTGAAATAATACTAACGTAATGTTTTGTCTTTTGTATTTCAGAATCATGACTGAGAGAAAAGCTGTCATCAAGAATGCTGACATGAGCGAGGACATGCAGCAGGATGCTGTAGACTGCTCCACAGCAGCCCTCGAGAAGTACAACATTGAGAAGGACATCGCTGCATACATCAAGAAGGAGTTCGACAAGAAGTACAACCCCACATGGCATTGTATTGTCGGTCGCAACTTTGGCAGCTACGTCACCCACGAGACCAAGCACTTCATCTACTTCTATCTGGGACAGGTGGCTGTTCTCCTCTTCAAATCAGGATAACCTGTGTCTCCTACGGGTTTCCATGACTACAAGTACAACATGTCTTCTGACATCTCCTTGTATGTAGTCAACCCAGACTTACCCGGAGAGTTGACATTACCTTAAGAAAGCAATGCTTCTGAATAGAGTAGAAAAGGCATAGAATGAATACAACCGTCCGAAGTATTAAACAGATCTGGCAATGTGGAGATCCTGCAATTTGGCTGATCAACATCCTGTGGTTTAACACACAATGTGTGGCTGTACATGGATATAAAAAGATGCATCAGAACTCTGGAACCGGATTCCCGTGTACTGTGCGGTACCCTTGACTATTATGTGGTACCCTTGAGGTGCAAGACAAGAACAGCTTTAACGTCATTGATATATTTTGTCACGTTTCATATTTATCTCAACTGCCACTGATCATTTTTAATGATTTAGAGACTTTGACAGAAGGAATGAATATTTGTGAATTCCACAGTTTTTTTCTGTTACAATATTCAGAGTCGGTCTGAGGTGAGACCGCAACATTTGGATGATATATGAATATATTTGAGGGCATTTTTGTCTTTTATATTATTTATTATTTACCTTGTTATGTGGACCAATAAATAATGCGACAGCAATAAGGTCTTTCCACTAATCTGTATGGAAATCCACACATACAACTTGATGAGGATGCTCATTCTCCGGACATGGAGTTTGGTGGATTGGTTTTGTTAGTGTGAATGTGTGTTTGAGTGTCCCAATGATCTAAGGGGTTGTGTAAAGTTGCGCCCCTTAATCATACAAGGATACGGTGATATGTGTTCGAATCCAAGATATAAACAGATTACGGTCATTTGTTTGGTTTGTCAGCATCATACATCTACACGTGGGTTTGCTAAAGTGGAAACGTCAAAGACTTGTGTAATTTAGTTGAAACGCGACGATTTAGCGAAAAATACTACAAACGGGTTAAACCTACCGACAAACACTGTATTGTAGTGAATGAGCGAGTTGAGTTTAACGCTGTTTTGAACAGTATTTTAGTTAAATCAAGGACTGCCAGATGTGATGTGGGAAGAATGCCCGAAGTCTTCGCGAAGATGACCATTTAGTGTAAAGAAGTGTGCAGACAAGAATATTGGCCCACGTGGTAGTTTAACGGGCGGAATATGCTATTTGTGTTCGGGTAGTCATGGCATGTTATATCATAAGAACAAAACGAATACAAGTAAGATATATACTCAACAACGAAAGTTCCTGTGACACCAATATTTTAGAGTATTTTTCAAACAAGTCAAGTTTGGTTTTCAATATTGTAGTACATGTATGGCATCAAGTCACAAAAACGCAACTGCTACAGAAAAGCATGCATTCCATGCAAAAGTTGACTTTTATGCAAGCCCCATGCATTTCACTACCCAAGTATGGGTATAAAAGCATGTGCGTTAACGGGATTCCATATGCATTGTTTAGCATCGTGCTGACAACAACCACTCAGAAAAACAACAAAATTACGCAATTATTCAACATTACGAAATGCCACGCCTGTCCGAAAATGAGCGTCTGCGAGCCATTGGTATTCTTGAAGCAGGATCGAGTCAACGTGATGTTGTAAGACAATTTAACGTCCACAGAAACACCATTTGGTGTTTATGGCAACGCTGGCAACAGACGAATGCAGTCAGAGACCATCCTCGGAGTAGCAGGCCACGCGTAACCAATAATCGACAAGACAACTGGATTCGAACAACACACCTACGAAATCGATTCCAGCCAGCAACAGTGACTGCAAGAAGCATCCCTGGCCTTCGTCGAATATCTTCACAAACCGTACGTCGCCGCCTCAGATGTGCAGGGGTTGTCGCCAGAAGACCCGCCAGACGCCCCATTTTGACAGGAAACCACCAAGCACGTCTACAGTGGTGCAGACAGCGTCTACGCTGGACGGCCATGCAGTGGGGACAAGTTCTATTCCCTGACGAGTCTCGTTTTCACCTCAGCCACAGCGATTGACGGATTCGAGTGTACCGACGTCGAGGTGAGCGTTACGTCAATCATTGTGTCATGGAAGAAGATCGGTTCGGGGGCGGCAGCCTTATGGGTGGGATTACAGCAAGACAGAGGGCCCGTTTGATAGTGGTAGAGGGAAATCTCAATGGACAGCGCTACCACGATGAGATCATCGGCCCTGTTGTTCTACCGTTTTTTGCGTCGTCATGGCCCAGGCATTACCTTTCAACATGACAACGCCCGGCCTCATATTGCTCGAAGTGTTCAGGATTCTCTTCAACAAAACAATGTGAATGTCATCCCATGGCCGGCTCGCTCCCCTGATTACTCACCAATCGAGCACATGTGGGATGAGATGGATCGGCGCCTTCGACGTCAACCACGTGCTCCACAGACACTCCAGGAACGTCGAAACATGCTCCAGCAAATATGGACAGATATCCCACAGGTCTTTGTGCGAACCTGATCCATTCCATGAGGCGAAGATGTGTTGCTTGCATCGCAACCAGAGGTGGACACACGCGCTATTGATTTGTAAATTGACATTTGGCATGTTCATGTTTTTATATGAAATCACGCATTTTCTAAAATCAGTATGGCAAATTAAACCATTTGAACACTTACAGGAGTCTTTTATCTGCTGCAAACCGAAATTGTTTCAGATTTGGTATAAAACATAACTTTGCATTAAATCTTATTCAATGTCACAGGAACTTTTGTTGTTGAGTATATATTTAATTATCTCTATATCAATGTTTCTATGCTTTGACTGGCAATGCAAGGGCGGATCTAGCGGTTTTTGAAAGTGTGCGTGTGCGTGCGTGTGCATGTGTGTGTGTGTGTGTGTTGGTTTGGTTGGTTGGTTTGTTGTTTTACGCCGCACTCTGCAATATTCCAGCTATATGACGGCGGTCGGTAAATAATCCTGGACCCGCCTATGGGTCATGGTTGGGCTTTTTATCCTTTATAATCTATATCTATTCGGCCAGCAGTATCATCTCATATGACAGAGGTAAACAAATGATTTTCAATGTGAACATCACACAATTCCAATGTAAACAGAATAGGGCATCCGAGATTATAGGATTAAATTCCAAAACTTCTAAGTTGTTAAAAAGTGAAAATAGCGGGGGAAATGCAATAACGTAATCAATTAAGCTCTCATCCAAACGCGTTGTTTTGCCAATATTATTTATCTTTCCCTATACGTCCATTAAAAAAGTATAAGTACAGATTCTTACATAAATCTTACCGTTTATGTCCAAATTGATATTTCTGCTAGTATCTTCATTTCCCCTCGCTCTTGGTGCATTCAAATTATCCAAAACATATTCTGGGTCGAATTCAGTTCCAATTTCGTCCACATTAATTCCAAATTCTTTGGCAATGTATTAATGAAGTGTACAATGATCTAGTAATTTACACGTTTTAGCGTCAAAATACCCAAGTAAACTCACGTTACCTGAGAGACATACGAGGGGCGTTCAATAAGTTTTGCAACTTCAATATAAGACCAAGTCACAGAATATCTTTTGCACTATAAAATATATTTTCAATATAATCTCCATTCACCTTAATACACTTATCCATTTGTCCTTCAAGCATTTAATACCACTTTTATAGAAATCCGTAGTTTGGCCCTCTAACCACGCCTTTATGTCCTCGTCATCCTGGAAGCGTCTTCCACGTAGGGCAGATTTCATTTGCCGGAACAGGAAATAGTCACTGGGGGCTAAGTCTGGGCTATAGGGTGGGTGATTTAACTGTACAGCCCAGACTGAGCCCCCAGTGACATGGAGTAGGTTTTTCAATATTTTGATATTTCACTTAATTTTATCGTAACCTTTTGCAAATTAACACAATATGTCATACAAATATGTGATAAATCATGTATAAAAACAACAGAAAACATGGAAAATATACTTTCAAGTAACCATTGAATCGCTGAAATGTGAAGCGAAAATGTCAAAAACTAAAATTAAAATGTCAAAAACAAAAACGAAAAGGTAAAAAAAGCGAAAATGTCAAAAACTAAAATGAAAATACAGAAAACTATTTCCACTGCGGTGATAATATCCTCACCGCGGTAAATAGTTTTCACTGCGGTAGAAATAGTTTTCGAAAAGAATAAAATGGACGTGGACAACTAACGAAATGTAAACGAGTTCAGCGTGTAGGAAATATATGTTTTGTTTGTTTGTTTGTTTGTTTGTTGTTTAACGCCGCACTCAGCAATATTACAGCTCTATGACGGCGGTCTGTAAATAATCGAGTCTGGACCAGACAATCCAGCGATTAATATCATGAGAATCGATCCGCGCAAATTGGATCGATGACATGCATCAACCAAGTCAGCGAGACTGACCACCCGATCCCGTTAGTCGCCTTTTACGACAAGCATAGTCACCTTTTTCGGCAAGGATGGGTTGCTGGAGACCTATTCTTACCCGAATCTTCACGGGTCAAGATTGGTTTGAAACACATGCAGGCATAGCACCCAGCAAATTTCACCACTCGTTTTTTAAGTGACAGTCCGTGATATTAGAATTGTGTTTACTGTCACAAGAGAATCAAACACATAATTCCGCTTAAAGACTATTTTGAGGCGTTTTACTACAATTTTTCATTCGCCATATTGTGCTTCCCAGTTTTGACTTTAACCCAACCGCAGGAGTAAACACTGCCACAGGACTGTCAGTTGGAATATAGGACGTGAGTAGATAAGAATGTCAATACAATTTCCACTTCTAATCCTCAATCTTACGTGCACTTATCCCTTCGTTTAAGTTGCACTATGTCATGTAATACACATGCATGCACATAGCCTACATGAATGCAGATGCACAACAGTGCAGTGCAGACGTATCTTTTTACATGATGAGTGTTGAGTGTATGGTCGCTCCGTGATGTCGGTATTGTCCGTTTTGTTGTTACGTTAATGTGTTTTGTATTGAAAGATACTTCAGAGCTCCAGATAGCTCCATGGTTTCAGACCTTTTGCCTCGTTCAGTATGTATGTTTTGCTCACCAGCATCTGTACGACGGTCGCGTGTCAAAACGGCGCCAAGCTGAACCGACCGAGATTGGTCAAAACGCCTGGAAAGAAAAAAGGGCGGTCAATGTCAGAGCCATGGTGTAATGGTGCATGTCAATGCTACATGTACTAATATGACGATAAAGAAGAAATTCATACTTCCTTCAGAAGTAATGCTTGTATACTTTATGCATTAACAGTGTTTCTATTTAAAAAAGATGAATACATGTATAAACGCTTGTCTGTATAGTTTTGTCGTCATGATATGGCTGAAATATTGCCGATGTGACGTAAAGCTCACTCACTGTATAGTTTTGCAATTACAGGGATTACCATATTCGACGTAATAATAATAATAATATTCTCAAAATTAGAAATAGAGGGCTTTTATTTAAATATAATTTTGGTGAGAGAAAAAAAAGAGTTGAAAGATCATAAACTTCGTGGTTTATGATGACAGCCTGAAATGATACAAAAGAAAGGTACATGTATGTGCGTCTCATACACAACAGATATATTTTCCAGAATTTAATTGCCCATAATTAAGGGTGCATATAACACACAAGTGCATATTAAACACAAATAAATAAGTCTTGTGTACATTGATCAATCGGAAGGGGTGTTAATTGGGTTTGTTCAATAGCCAATATATTAGCAAATATCGCTGTGGGTGCTTATTAGAGCGGGGCGCTTATTACGTCGAATATGGTAATCTAGGATTCCAAACTTAGTGCCCTTGGCAGGAAAATTGGGAAGTATCGCTCTTTTGTTCACCGTTGAGATTTTTTTAAGTCCTTATTTTCCTAAATTTAGAGATATTTTAGCATTGTAGTTTAACATTGCATCCAATACAATAATGTTAAACAAAGCATTGAGCCTCTTTCTTTGTATTGGTCCTGTTGTCATTGAAATACAAGTCATATCTACAAAGACATAACATTTGTTAATATTCTTGCAACACGAATAGGAAATGTTTAATTCCAATTTGGAAATTGTTACTGATATTTGCTGTTGACTTGGAGCTGATCACAATGAAATCAATAACCATAAGACCGCTTCATTACAAGACAAGACTTGGGTCAGTCTTCTTGCACAAATGTTATCAGAGGGGGTAGGGGGGCACAAGTGGCCCAGTCGTCTAAGGCGTCACGATTTGCTGTGCAGAGTTGCGTCCCTAGGGCACGCCAGAAACCTATTATTGTGGGTTTCGAATCCCGGTTCCCCCGATTATGTTTCTAGGTTTGTCAGCACCATACCCGTGCTCGTGTGTTTCACAAAAGTGGTAAACGTCTGAGACCTGCGTCACTTCGGGCTTTCCTCCCACATTAAGCTGACACGCCGCGATATAACTGGAATATTGTTAAAAGCGGCGTTAAACCCAACTCACTCACTCTAAAGAGGTGTTCTCAGATCTTCACGCAGAGAGTTGTTGTTTCCGAGTAAAACTTAAGATCTGATTGTAATGAGATTGGACTATCTATTCCTCATTTTTGCCGTCTCTTGCTACTTGGGGCACGGGTGGCCCAGTCGCCTATAAGGTGCTGCAATTCGCTGTGCAGAGTTGCGTCCCTTGGGCACACCAGAAACCTATGACACGCCATGATATAACTGGAATACTGTTAAAAGCGGCGTTAAACCCAACTCACTCACTCATTATCAGAGGGGGTAACTAATAGATAAACTTTTATGCTCTATTTGAGTTCCTGTTTTAATTTTCTAAATCTTTAGAATTTTTGAAACAAATATATTACAATATACTTAATATACTCATTTGACCACATTGTTACCAGTTTGTTTGTTCGTTGTTTAACGCCGCACTCAGCAATATTAAAGCTATATGACGGTGGTCTGTAAATATTCGAGTCTGGACCAGACAATCCAGTGATTGACATCATGAGCATCGATCCAAGCAATTGGGATCCGATGACAATCATCAACCAAGTCAGCAAGCCTGTCCACCCAATCCCGTTAGTCGCCTCCTACGACAAGCATGGGTTCCTGAAGACCTATTCTACCCTGGATCTTCACGGGTCCATTTGTACCAGTGATAAAAAAGCTTGTCTGACATTGTGTTGGCAGGGGTAAATTTTCAAGCAATGATAGAATGCCTACTTTTCTATGAGTAGTAACTTTTTTTCTAATCTTCTGATTACAGAGAAGGATTAACTTTGTTGACAAAGAGCTTTGAAGATGGACATAACTGTAAGTAACTGGCGCATTTGATACTCATCTTGACATTACAAATTCTGAAATAAATGTGGTGAGAGAGTTTTCTCACTGCTGTCGGTAATATCACAACCTATAGATAATTGAATCAGAACTTCACTGTCGGGTAGCCTAGTGGTTAAAGCATTCGCTTGTCACGCCGAGGACCTGGGTTCGATTCCAACATGGGTATGATGTGTGAAGCCCATTTCTGGTGTCCCCCGCCGTGATATTGCTGGAATATTGCTAAAAGCGGCGTAAAACCACACTCACTCACTCACTGTATCAGAAGTAGAGCATGGACATGGGATTCCACATCTGAATAGGCTCCTGTTTTTTGGCGTGGTAGGGAGAAGCAAATTTATATTTGAGATGAATGTTACATTTAAACTATTTTCATAAATTTCTTCTGAGAAATGTATGGCACAGTTGATGAAGCTGATGTTAGTTCATCAAGATTTAATTAGGAGATAACTTCATAAACGTTAATAAATGATTAATGTTTTTAGATTTGTGTGTTGTGTTGTTTTGAGTATTCGATGCCTGGATTTTTTCATATGGAATTGACAGTGATTTCACACAAAGTAGCATCTTCCCGAGGCAAGAGAGTTAACTGACTTTAAAAGTCCAGTTTCCACCTTGCCGAACTAGGCTGGTATTATGGAGTTAGATTTTGGCTGGACTAATGAGTCTATTCATAGTCCAATCAAAATCGCTCAATGAAATCGAAATCCGGTTCATAAACTGTCATGCAGATTTCGGTTGATTGCAGGATTTGCAAAGCATGTGCACCGCCTCGTTGTCAACAGATGTTTTCCAAATCTTTTCATGTTTTTAATCAATGTGCTCACGTGATTTGATGCACTTCTGGATGTAAGACTCGTTTTATCACAATACATAGATCTTGATTATCGATCAGATTGTCTTGACTGGGCGCCGCCGTTTTGTTTGAAGCAAATGCAAGTGATACATGAGGTGGAATCTGATTGGTCCATAGGAGAGGCATAGAAGGGGCATATTTTGTAACAGCTGCTGGTGGCGCTACGATCGAGCCCAGGAATTGCAGCATTGTTCAGCAAGGGTGGAAACTGGACTTTTAAAGTCAGTTAACTCTCTTGCCTCGGGAAGATGACAAAGTAGCAAATCAGGGCAGGATGTATCATGGAATTTGCTGTCTTCATCAGCTGATGAACGTCAACAAATACAACTTCACTCCTTAATTAAGTCCTGTGTACTCTTGAGTCATAGTGATTGGGGGTCTCACTTGAAATCCAAGAATTTTGCTCTTGTCAATCATCGAACATACTGGGGCGGTCGGGTAGCCTAGTGGTTAAAGCGTTCATCTTGACATTACAATTTCTGAAATAAATGTGGTGAGAGAGTTTTCTCACTGCTGTCAGTAATATCACAACCTATAGATAATTGAATCAGAACTTGGGCAGTCGGGTAGCCTAGTGTTTAAAGCGTTCGCTTGTCACGCCGAAGACCCGGGTTCGATTCCCGACATGGGTACAATGTGTGAAGCCCATTTCTGGTGACCCCCGCCGTGAAATTGCTGGAATATTGCTAAAAGCGGCGTAAAACCATACTCACTCATCGAACATACTCAGAAGACTTAGTCTTTATTCGTGATCATTATGTTATTAGATGGGAATTTAGACTGAAGAAAATTCACACACTGAAACCCTGAAGTTTAGTGTATTTCATGCCAAATAGACATGTTAGGTATATCATGGATATTTAGCAAGCAGTCTACAATTTTAATCCATGAAACAGCCATACTTTCCTCAGTCCCTCTCTAAATGCAAATTAATTGTGTCTCAATTTGTACATAGAGAGGACACAATATTCTGCTTCCAGTGAAAGCCTGGAGATAACCCTGTGAAAAATCAGTGTCCATGATTTAGGACATCATTGATTGTACAGTGTATCTCCTTTCTGTTTGAGACCGCCTCCGTGGTCTAGTGGTAGAGCGTCCGGGGTTCGATCCCCAGCTGCGTCATACCAAAAGACGTTAAAAGATGGTACTTGTTGTTACCCTGTCTGGCGCTCTACATTAAGGGGCTAACACAAGGACTGGTCAGCCCGGAGTCAGTATACTGTGTCTGAGTGGGGTATTCATGTTAAACTGTGGCATGGTATCTCAGCTTGCTAGCACTATAAATCAGCATCAGTCCGGACTAGTACAAGCAGCCCCCCCCCACACACACATACACGTACATGCACGTCGCTATATAAGTGCAATAATCTTGGACGCGACGTTAAACCCCATTTCACCTCACCTCACCTTTCTGTTTGATGCATATCTTGAAACCATTTACCACCAAAGCGCCATTTCAGAAGTTTCATCACTATCTCCATCCCTCTTACCACTAAGGGGCATGGGTGGCCCAGTCGTCTAAGGCGCTGCGATTCGCTGTGCAGAGTTGCGCCCCTTGGGTACGCCAGAAACCTATGATTGTGGGTTCGAATCCCGGTTCGCACTGATTATGTTTCTTGGTTTGTCAGCAGTATACGCGTGCTCGTGGGTTTCACCGAAGTGGTAAACATCTGAGACCTGCATCACTTCAGGCTTTCCTCCCACATTAAGCTGACACGCCGTGATGTAACTGGAATACTGTTAAAAGTGGCGTTAAACCCAACTCACTCACTCACTCATGATGTTGACATTTCAGGTGAAACAGGAGCCATGTGGAGAAAGTCCGTCTCCTCCAGAGTGTGAGAGACTCCAGAATAACTACATGGAAGTTGAGGCACCAGGTGATGACCGTTTTCTGTGTAAGTAGCATTTCCGTGTCAGTAACATTTCTGTGTAAGTAGCATTTCTGTGTAAGTAGCATTTCTGTGTAAGTAGCATTTCCGTGTAAGTAGCATTTCTGTGTCAGTAGCATTTCTGTGTAAGTAACATTTCCATGCTACTTTTTCTGTGTAAGTAGCATTTCCGTGTCAGTAGCATTTCTGTGTCAGTAACATTTCCATGCTACTTTTTCTGTGTAAGTAGCATTTCCATGTAGGTAACATTTCTGTGTAAGTTATATTTCTGTGTAAGTAATATTTCTGTGAAAGTAACATTTCTGTGTAAGTAGCATTTCTGTGTAAGTAACATTTCTGTGTAAGTTATGTTTCTGTGTAAGTAGCATTTCTGTGTAAGTAGCATTTCTGTGTAAGTAGCATTTCTGTGTAAGTTATATTTCTGTGTAAGTAGCATTTCTGTGTAAGTAGCATTTCTGTGTAAGTAACATTTCTGTGTCAGTAGCATTTCTGTGTAAGTAACATTTCCATGCTACTTTTTCTGTGTAAGTAGCATTTCCATGTAGGTAACATTTCTGTGTAAGTTATATTTCTGTGTAAGTAATATTTCTGTGAAAGTAGCATTTCTGTGTAAGTAGCATTTCTGTGTAAGTAGCATTTCCATGTAAGTAACATTTCTGTGTAAGTAACATTCCTGTGTAAGTAGCATTTCTGTGTCAGTAGCATTTCTGTGTAAGTAACATTTCCATGCTACTTTTTCTGTGTAAGTAGCATTTCCATGTAGGTAACATTTCTGTGTAAGTTATATTTCTGTGTAAGTAATATTTCTGTGAAAGTAATATTTCTGTGTAAGTAGCATTTCTGTGTAAGTAGCATTTCTGTGTAAGTAGCATTTCCATGTAAGTAACATTTCTGTGTAAGTTATATTTCTGTGTAAGTAGCATTTCTGTGTAAGTAGCATTTCTGTGTAAGTAGCATTTCTGTGTAAGTAACATTTCTGTGTAAGTAATATTTCTGTGAAAGTAACATTTCTGTGTAAGTAACATTTCTGTGTAAGTAATATTTCTGTGAAAGTAACATTTCTGTGTAAGTAATATTTCTGTGTAAGTAACATTTCTGTGTAAGTAACATTTCTGTGTAAGTAATATTTCTGTGTAAGTAACATTTCTGTGTAAGTAGCATTTCTGTGTAAGTAACATTTCTGTGTAAGTAACATTTCTGTGTAAGTAATATTTCTGTGTAAGTAGCATTTCTGTGTAAGTAGCATTTCTGTGTAAGTAGCATTTCCGTGTAAGTAGCATTTCTGTGTCAGTAGCATTTCTGTGTAAGTAACATTTCCATGCTACTTTTTCTGTGTAAGTAGCATTTCCGTGTCAGTAGCATTTCTGTGTCAGTAACATTTCCATGCTACTTTTTCTGTGTAAGTAGCATTTCCATGTAGGTAACATTTCTGTGTAAGTTATATTTCTGTGTAAGTAATATTTCTGTGAAAGTAACATTTCTGTGTAAGTAACATTTCTGTGTAAGTAACATTTCTGTGTAAGTAATATTTCTGTGTAAGTAACATTTCTGTGTAAGTAATATTTCTGTGTAAGTTATATTTATGTGTAAGTAATATTTCTGAGAAAGTAACATTTCTGTGTAAGTAGCATTTCCATGTAAGTAACATATCTGTGTAAGTAACATTTCTGTGTAAGTAACATTTCTGTGTAAGTAATATTTCTGTGTAAGTAACATTTCTGTGTAAGTAATATTTCTGTGTAAGTAATATTTCTGTGTAAGTAACATTTCTGTGTAAGTAACATTTCTGTGTAAGTAATATTTCTGTGTAAGTAATATTTCTGTGTAAGTAACATTTCTGTGTAAGTAGCATTTCTGTGTAAGTAACATTTCTGTGTAAGTAGCATTTCTGTGTAAGTAACATTTCCTTGTCAGTAGCATTTTCATGAAAGTAACATTTCTGTGTAAGTAACATTTCTGTGTAAGTAACATTTCTGTGTAAGTAACATTTCCATGAAAGTAACATTTCTGTGTAACATTTCTGTGTAAGTAACATTTCTGTGTAAGTAGCTTTTCTATGTAAGTGACATTCCGTGTCAGTAACATTTCTTTGTAAGTAACATTTCCATGAAAGTAACATGTAATGCGATGAAGAAGGAGTGATAACATTTGTGTTGCTGTAATGGCCGACTAACACACCTGGTATTCAGGTATAAGGTGACTCAAGTCACTGAATGGGAACTCCTATGTTGATTTTAGTTCCACCATCTTTATACATCCAACCTTCTAATAAAACATGATCATTTATAGCAAGCTAATATATCAACCCCTGTGTTGTTCATCAGATTGCCAGGACTGCAACAAGGAGTATGAAGGGGACTGTTCAGTACACGGACCTCTTCTCATGGTGGCAGACACACAGGTATTCTCCATGTACTCTGATGGATAATAATGGTCATTTAAGAACGTACCAGTAGAAAACCTTATTGAAGTAGATCCAAGTGAGTGAAGTTTTTTATCAGTATTTGTTAGTAATTCATGAATACAAATCTTAATAAATAGTCAGAATTGCACAACGAACTCTGATTCACACGGAACTCTGCTTGTTATATTTTATTTCTTCACCTTTGAAGATCCAGGTTAGAATAGGTTTTCACTAACCATGATAGTCGTAAAAGGTGACATTGATTGCCGTAAGAGGCAACTGACGGGATCAGATGGTCAGGCTCGCTGACTTGGTTGATGCATGTCATTGTATCCCAATTGTGTGGCTCGATGTTCATGATATCAATCACTGGATTTTTAAGTATCTATATTTGTTTTCGTTAAATACCACTGAGTGTTATATACTTAAGTGAAACCTTCTTGCTTGATATTGAGCTGACAAACCAATGATTATCAGCCAAACTTCCTGTAGATAAAGCAATTCCATTTTCAATTCGGACACATTCCACAACACCCTTAATTTGTGTATTGAATTATCAACTCAAATGAGCTTCTTTTAGAAACACCATTGTTAGGATCATTCAAACAAAGTTTCAGCGGTTTATGACAGAGGTATTAGTGAGGGACAATGCTCCATGATTTGAGCGCAACACTCCATTCACCATGAAGGTGAGCAGAAATTGTTTGTCTAAGACAGTGGCAAATATTGAACCTAAAGTGTTGATAATGACTTCTCAATTGTGTTGATATTCCAGGAAACATTGGAAAATGTTGACAGAGCTTGGAAAACGATGCCTGTTGGTCTGGAGATTGAGGAATCTGGGATCCTAGGCGCTGGTCTTGGAGTTTGGGCGTCTCAGGACTTTGTTCCGCGCACCTGCTTTGGGCCGTACGAGGGAGACTCCATCCAAGATGAGAACACTGCTCATGCATCAGGATACAGTTGGCAAGTATGTTTGGTGAATAGAAGATGCACAGGGATTTATCTGGACCTGCTCGGAAACCAATATTTGGCCCCAAGTCTCTTGAAAATGAGATTTAAAAAATCACAATTTGAATTTTACAGTTTTCCAAGACCACAGAATTTTACGAAAATATGGACATTAAAAAATCCACTTTTATCACGTTTGTTTCCCAATTTGTCTGCCAAGGGGACATGGTTTGGGAGTCCTAGATAAATCCCTCATACATACCTAATATCATCCAAATACGTTTTGAATAAATCCTGCGTCTCACTTCACTCCTGTGTGGATTCAAACTTGGTGCCAGTATCTTGTGTAAGAGCCCAGTAAAGTTCAGGTCAGGTGGACAGGCTCTGTGAATCACCAGCTTGTGTTCCACTGTTCATGCTTTCAAGTTTCAGGTTTGCATGGACATACTGGATTATTGTTAGGCTTGATTTATACAGTTGGAATAGTGTTCATTTTCCTTAAGACCGATTCTGTGGTCTAGTGGACAGAGTGCATGCCCAGAGCGAGGAAGGTAGACCCCCGGCTGCATCACATCAAAATATGTTAAAAAATGGTACTTACAGTTACCGTCTGGCACTCGGCATTAAGCTGATAAAACAAGGACTCGGAGTCAGGATTCTGTGTCTGAGTGGGGTATCCACGTTCAAATGCGGCATTGTATCTCAATTGGCTTGCATTATAAAACCGGCATTGGTCCGGACTAGTACAAGCAGCCACACACACATGTAATAATCTTGAACACGACGTTAAACCCAATTTCACCTCACCTTCATTATCATTATGACCAAATTAATTTGAGACCTTAAGATATTAGAAGGGGGCACGGGTGGTCCAGTCGTCTAAGGCGCCGCGATTCGCTGTGCAGAGTTGCGTCCCTTGGGCACGCCAGAAACCCATGATTGTGGGTTCGAATCCAGGTTCGCACGATTATGTTTCCAGGTTTGTCAGCACCATACCCGTGCTCGTGGGTTACACGGAAGTGGTAAACGTCTGAGACCTGCATAACTTTGGGATTTCCTCCCACATTAAACTGGCATGCCTTGATATAACTGGAATACTGTTAACAGCAGTGTTAAACCCAACTCACTCTAACTATCTCAGTTGTCTTGCACTGTAAAACCAGCAGTCAGGACTAGTGCAAGCAGCCACACACACAAATATGGCATGGGTGGCCCAGTTGTCACAGGCACTGCAAGTCATTGAGCAGAGTTGCCATGCCAGAAACCAATGATATTGCATCCAAATCTCAGATTCGCCCCAATTGTTTCTTGGTTTGTTTCCACTGAACATCTAGGACCTGCATCACTTTAGGCGTTCCTCCCAAATAACTGCCTGCCCAAGGTTGGTCATCTTTCTGTCAGGCTGCATGAAAGTTTCCTCCACCTGCCCGTTACTCTCACACCTTAACATAGACTTACGACTGTCATGGCACTACGATCGGTTTGTGGAACGTGGCCCTTGGTGCCATTGTACAAAGCAATCTTAGCACTAAGGTGATTGTTACTCTCATACTTTAACATAGACTTATGACTGTCATGGCACTACGATCAGTTTGTGGAACGTGGCCCTGGGTGCCACTGTACAAAGCAATCTTAGCACTAAGGTGACCGTTACTCTCACACTTTAACATAGACTTACGACTGTCATTGTATTACGATTGCTTTTTGGAACGTGGCCTTGGGTGCCACTGTACAAAGCAATCTTAGCACTAAGGTGACCGTTACTCTCATACTTCAACATAGACTTACGACTGTCATTGCACTACGATCAGTTTGTGGAACTGGGCCCTGGGTGCCATTTTACAAAGCAATCTTAGCGCTAAGGTGATTGTTACTCTCATACTTTAACATAGACTTACGACTGTCATTGCACTACAATCAGTTTGTGGAACTGGGCACTGGGTGCCATTTTACAAAGCAATCTTAGCGCTAAGGTGATTGTTACTCTCATACTCTAACATAGACTTACGACTGTCATTGCACTACGATCAGTTTGTGGAACTGGGCCCTGGGTGCCATTGTACAAAGCAATCTTAGCGCTAAGGTGATTGTTACTCTCATACTCTAACATAGACTTACGACTGTCATTGAACTACGATCAGTTTGTGGAACTGGGCCCTTGGTGCCATTGTACAAAGCAATCTTAGCGCTAAGGTGATTGTTACTCTCATACTCTAACATAGACTTACGACTGTCATTGCACTACGATCAGTTTGTGGAACTGGGCCCTGGGTGCCATTGTACAAAGCAATCTTAGCGCTAAGGTGATTGTTACTCTCATACTCTAACATAGACTTACGACTGTCATTGAACTACGATCAGTTTGTGGAACTGGGCCCTTGGTGCCATTGTACAAAGCAATCTTAGCGCTAAGGTGATTGTTACTCTCATACTCTAACATAGACTTATGACTGTCATTGAACTACGATCAGTTTGTGGAACTGGGCCCTGGGTTCCACTGTACAAAGCAATCTTAGTGCTAAGGTGAACGTTAGTCTCATAGCTTAACAGAGACTTTAAAATACCAGTCGTGCTAAGGTTGTTTTGTACAATGGCAACCAGGTCCATATCAGAGTCTGATGTTCAAGAACATGACTGAATGATGGAACATACACAATGACTTTGCCAGTATCCAGTAGACATATGATGAAACCTTCCAAGCACTACTACCAGATAGTATTACACATTACAATATCTTGATCTTCCTTGCCAGTAGCCAGTAGACATATGATCGAAACCTTCCCAGCACTACTACCAGATAGTATTACACATTACAATATCTTGATCTTCCTTGCCAGTAGCCAGTAGACATATGATCGAAACCTTCCCAGCACTACTACCAGTTAGTATTACACATTACAATATCTTGATCTTCCTTGCCAGTAGCCAGTAGACATATGATCGAAACCTTCCAAGCACTACTACCAGATAGTATTACACATTACAATATCTTGATCTTCCTTGCCAGTAGCCAGTAGACATATGATCAAACCTTCCCAGCACTACTACCAGATAGTATTACACATTACAATATCTTGATCTTCCTTGCCAGTAGCCAGTAGACATATGATCAAACCTTCCAAGCACTACTACCAGATAGTATTACACATTACAATATGGCTTATCTTGATCTTCCTTGCCAGTAGCCAGTAGACATATGATAGAAACCTTCCCAGCACTACTACCAGTTAGTATTACACATTACAATATCTTGATCTTCCTTGCCAGTAGCCAGTAGACATATGATCGAAACCTTCCAAGCACTACTACCAGATAGTATTACACATTACAATATCTTGATCTTCCTTGCCAGTAGCCAGTAGACATATGATCGAAACCTTCCCAGCACTACTACCAGATAGTATTACACATTACAATATCTTGATCTTCCTTGCCAGTAGCCAGTAGACATATGATCGAAACCTTCCAAGCACTACTACCAGATAGTATTACACATTACAATATGGCTTATCTTGATCTTCCTTGCCAGTAGCCAGTAGACATATGATCGAAACCTTCCCAGCACTACTACCAGATAGTATTACACATTACAATATCTTGATCTTCCTTGCCAGTAGCCAGTAGACATATGATCGAAACCTTCCAAGCACTACTACCAGTTAGTATTACACATTACAATATCTTGATCTTCCTTGCCAGTAGCCAGTAGACATATGATGAAACCTTCCAAGCACTACTATCAGGTAGTATTACACATTACAATATGGCTTATCTTGATCTTCCTTGCCAGTAGCCAGTAGACATATGATCGAAACCTTCCCAGCACTACTACCAGATAGTATTACACATTACAATATGGCTTATCTTGATCTTCCTTGCCAGTAGCCAGTAGACATATGATCGAAACCTTCCCAGCACTACTACCAGATAGTATTACACATTACAATATCTTGACCTTCCTTGCCAGTAGCCAGTAGACATATGATCAAACCTTCCAAGCACTACTACCAGATAGTATTACACATTACAATATGGCTTATCTTGATCTTCCTTGCCAGTAGCCAGTAGACATATGATCGAAACCTTCCAAGCACTACTACCAGTTAGTATTACACATTACAATATCTTGATCTTCCATGCCAGTAGCCAGCAGACATATGATCAAACCTTCCAAGCACTACTACCAGTTAGTATTACACATTACAATATCTTGATCTTCCATGCCAGTAGCCAGCAGACATATGATCAAACCTTCCCAGCACTACTACCAGTTAGTATTACACATTACAATATCTTGATCTTCCTTGCCAGTAGCCAGCAGACATATGATCAAACCTTCCCAGCACTACTACCAGATAGTATTACACATTACAATATCTTGATCTTCCTTGCCAGTAGCCAGCAGACATATGATCGAACCTTCCCAGCACTACTACCAGTTAGTATTACACATTACAATATCTTGATCTTCCTTGCCAGTAGCCAGCAGACATATGATCGAAACCTTCCCAGCACTACTACCAGATAGCATTACACATTACAATATCTTGATCTTCCTTGCCAGTTCCTTTTCCAGATATGTACCCAGGCTGCATGAAATTTTCCTCCACTTGCCCGAATGTCTGGCAGATAATTTTAAGACTACTTACATTTCAGTTTTATAATGACTTCTTGTGGACTTTCAAGTGCTTGTTTGCATTATTTTAACTGAATCCAGATGCAATATGTCTCTTATTTTTGTGAATTTTTTTTAATATTTATAATGTCGGAACTTTGAAGATGGACAGGCAACAATTGACTTGTCTTGTTGGGTTTTTTAAATATTTCAAACACTGCTCCCACATGAAGTTGATGGACTGAAATTCTGTTCAAAGCTGTGTTAAACCCAACTCACTCACTTTGAGAGATTAGAATGTCTACCTTGACCTGTCAAACAGATTTATTGTAATTGAGATTTCCTAATTCCAATTATTCAGATCCACACAGATGGACAACCTTCCCACTTTGTAGATGGCCAACACTGCAACACTGCCAACTGGATGAGATATGTCAACTGTGCTCGAACAGAGGAAGAACAGAATCTGACTGCATTTCAATACAATGGTCATATCTACTACAGAGCCTACAAGAAGATCAGTGTTGGTTGCGAGCTGCTTGTCTGGTATGGACACAAGTATGCAAGGAACCTTGGTATCGAGAGACAACTTACACTCCAAGAGGGGCACACTGAAGGTAAACACTTTTAGAATACTGCCATGAGAGAGGCAGCAGCATTGGTAGTGGGAAAAAGGTGAATATTATGTTTCACCTTGTTCACTAATTTGATAATCTAAATTATCAATTCAAATGCCGTTGGTGACAACAGAGGAAATAAATTATTGAATAAGACACAGATCACTTGTTTAGATTAGTTTTTTTACTGTTTTGTGTGTTTTCTAAGATAATTATGTCAATATCTCTTGTATTTTTGGTTTTGATTTAAACTCAAAATATTTTTTTCATATTCAGGTCTGTGTGTTTAAAAAAATAATTGTTTTGATTACATGCTGCACATATCAAGTTGTTGCCTGAAACGGGGCCTGGGGTGCCTTTGTACAGAGCAATCTTAGCGCTAAGGTAATCGTTACTCTCATACCTTAACGTAGACTTACAACTGTCTTTGTACTACGATCTCTTTGTGGAATGGGGCCTCGTTACTCTTAACCTTAACAGAGAATTTAAGATACCAGTCATGGCGCTAAGGTTGTTATGTACAACGGCACCCAGGTCCATATCAGAGATACTGACATACCAAGTCTGATGTTCAAGAACATGACTGAATGATTGAACATACACTTTGCCAGTAGCCAGTAGATGTATGAATGAAACCATCCCAGCACTACTATCAGGTAGTATCAAACATTACAACAGCTTTTATCTTGATCTCCCTTTTCCAGATATGTACCCATGTGACAGCTGTGATCTTGGGTTCTCATCTGTTGTGTTCTTGTGGAAACATCTGAACAAGATGCATGAAGGAAAACTGACAGCTCAGTTGAGGTTCATAGTGAACACTCAGGGTGTTAGCGTCCATGACTTTATTGAGAAGATAGAGAGCCATAAACAGAAGCATGACACTAAGGGCGTTAACTTCAGTGACTTTACTTGGGAGATAAAGAGCCGTAAGCAGAAGAGTGACACTAAGAACATTAACTTCAGTGGGGAGATAGAGAACCAGAAGCAAAAGAGTGACACTAAGGGCGTTATCTTCAGTGACATCAGTGGGGAGATAGAGGACCCAGAAGAGGACAGCAACAATGTCCTTAATGAGGACGGAAACACTGGAGGTGACGGAGCAGAAACAGCTAAACCCCAGAGACACAAACAGCATCAGAGTGGGCCACTCCTTGAGTGTGGTGAGTGTGGGGAGGGATTCAATGCACCAAGTAAACTGCAGACACACATGACATGCCACACAGAAATCCAGCCTTTTCCATGTAAGGAGTGTGGGAAAACATTTACAAAGTCACGTGACCTAGCTAGACACATGAGACTTCATGGAGTAAAGTCTTATAAGTGCACCGAGTGTGAGAAAACATTTGTACAAGCAGCTTATTTGCAGAAACACATGAAGTATCACAATGGCGTCAGGTCACACAAGTGTAGTGAGTGTGGGAAAGCCTTTGTAGAAGCATCTGAGCTTCAAAGACACATGATTTGTCACACTGGAGACAGACCATTTAAGTGCAGTGAGTGTGCGAAGGCATTTCGACAATCTGGTAGCCTTCAGATACACATGAGGAGCCACAGTGGCATCAAGCCTTATAAATGTAGTGAGTGTGGGATGGCATTTGTGGTGTCAGGTAGCTTGCACCAACACATGAGGTGTCACACAGGAGTCAGACCATATCAGTGTGGTGAGTGTGGGAAAGCATTTGCAAAATCCGGAAACCTGCAGACACACATGAGGAGCCACAGTGATGTCAAGGCTTATGAATGTAGTGAATGTGGGAAGGCATTCGTAGGATCAAGTAGCTTGAAGAAACACATGAGGCGTCACACAGGAGTCAAGCCTTACAAGTGTGGGGAGTGTGGGAAATCATTCACAGATTCATGTAGCCTGAAACAACATATGATACGTCACACGGGAGTCAAGCTTTATAAGTGTACTGATTGTGGGAAGTCATTTACACAGTCAAGTGACCTGAAGCAACACATGAGGTGTCACAGTGGGGACAAGCCTTACAAGTGTGGTGAGTGTGGGAAGGCATTTACGGGGTCATGTGACCTGAAGCAACATATGAGGTGTCACAGTGGTGACAAGCCTTACAAGTGTTTAGAGTGTGGGAAGGCATTTACACAATCAGGTAACCTCAACATGCACTTGAGATGTCACACTGGCTTCAAGCCGTATAAGTGTAGTGAGTGCGGGAAAGAATTTACACAATCAGGTAACCTCAAGATGCACATGAGATGTCACAGTGGTGTCAAGCCTTTCAAGTGTAGTGAGTGTGGGAAAGAATTTACACGATCAGGTACCCTTAAGAAGCACTTGAGATGTCACAGTGGCGTCAAGCCTTATAGGTGTAGTGAGTGTGGGAAAGAATTTACACAATCGGGTAACCTCAAGATGCACATGACATGTCACAGTGGTGTCAAGCCTTTTAAGTGTAGTGAGTGTGGGAAAGAATTTACACGATCAGGTACCCTTAAGAAGCACTTGAGATGTCACAATAGCATTAAACCTAATCAAAGTAACTAGTATGGGGAGGCATTTTCACAATCAGGTTCCTTCAGAGACTTAGGAGTGTTCACGGTCAGTATCACTATCACATCACACAAGTGACCTTCAGGCACAAGTGCAATGTCACAGTGGTGTCAAGCCTTAGTCGTGTAGTCAGTGTGGAAAACATTTACAGTGTCATGTAGCCTCAAGATGCACTTGAGATGTTACAGTAGCATGAAACCTCAACCCAGTGGAAGACATTGACACAATCAGATCAGTTGAAACGTTTAAAGGACCAAGTAACCTGAAGACCTATATCAGTTGCCACAGTGAAGTTGGAGCCTATGCTTTCGTGAGTGTGGAAAGATCACACTGTCTTCAAGTTTACTTTAGTGTGGAGTTTTGTGGATTCACCCATTACAATGATAACATGTTTCAGGTCATCCATATTTTTGTTCCTTTACTCCATACTCAACCCATGAGGATTCTGGTGTTACGTGTCGGTTCCAAAATTGAAACAATATGTTAACCCAGAAATCTGTACATAGATTAGTGTGAAACCAACAAACAACCAACATATGTATTACAAAATTCACTAGGTTTACAAATCAATACAAACTACGTCACAGCAATGGCAGTACACAATAGAGTGGTAGTACAATATTCAATAACAGTATATAATATGATGGCAGTGTCAGTATCAAAGTCAGTGATAATAGTATATTCACCCAGGGGTGGTGACAGTGGTCAAGCTTCCAAGAAAGGCCTAGGCAGGGAATCTGGGGTGATGAGCGATCCTCACAAGAAAGTTGGTCTTGGCGTGATGAGATGCGCGAGAGATACGTAAACACGCTCTTGTCTCCTTATATACAGCTACTGGAAATGTCTATACTGTGCGGGGTGGTCGGATAGCCTAGTGGTTTAAGTGTTCGCTCGTCACGCCAAAGACCCGGGTTCGATTCCCCACATGGGTACAATGTGTGAAGCCCATTTCTGGTGTCCCCCGCTGTGATATTGCTGGAATATTGCTAAAAGCGGCGTAAAACCTCACTCACTCACTCACTTCTATACTGTGCCCTCACCAGTCTAGCAGCAGTAGAACATTACAGAATATTCTGCATGAGTCCACAGTCAAGGAGAAGTTTACATGCCACACTAGCATCTAGTAACTAGCTAATGACTGCTCACATTAAATAGTACTACACTCCTGACAACGAATCACAGCCCCAAAACAATGCAATCAGCATCTACCGAATCTCAACAGAAACAATGTAAAACAGTTTCAGTCATTGTTCAACAATATAATACACTGCCATATAACACTGGTTAGAACAGGCCCCCAGGAACCTATGATGGTCGTAAGAGGGGACCTTTTGGATCAGTTGGCCAGGCTCAGTGACTTGGTTGATAGCATGTAACAAACTCCAACGGTGTGGATCTTTGCTCATACCATCAATCACTGGTTTGTCTAGTCCTCTTCTCATTAAATACTAGGCTGTCGAAAGAATACAAACAGTACATCTTTGGTTGAAAATGGAACTGATAGGCTGTTTGGTTTAGACATGGTTGGAAATTGGTTATAATTGTTTTTAAAGGTGCTCATTACATAAACTCCCAGCACTGTCACTGTGCTACATTCGTAGTGCTATGGTTGCTTGATCAGTGTTGCGAGTTTAAGAAACTAAAAGAGTGAAATGCTCAGAACATGAACATGTATGAAAGGGATAAAGTGAAGCTAGCTATTGATAGACTGATTTCCCTTCTTTCCCTTCTATGTAAGAATGGATACAATACAAGGATTTTGCAGGGAGGAAATGGAAAACTGGTTCAATTGGAGCTTTTCAAATCTAATGATATATGTGAGTGAGTGACTTGGGTTTAATGATGCTTTTAACAGTATTCCAGTTATATCACGGCGTGTCAGCTTAATGTGGGAGGAAAGCCCGAAGTGATGCAGGTCTCAGACGTTTATCCCTTCTGTGAGTCCCACAAGCACGGGTATGGTGCTGACAAACCTAGAAACATAATCGGGGTGAACCGGGATTCGAATCCACAATCTTAGGTTTCTGGTGTGTCCAGGGGACACAACTCTGCACAGCGAATCGCGGCGCCTTAGACGACTGGGCCACCTGTGCCCCCTAATAAATGTTCAGAGCACCAAAACAATGTTCCAATGTTCCGTGAGGGTTGGTGAACCATATTTTAGTTAGGATCATGGATATCTCTGATCAGTCAAATGTGTGAGTGACTTTGGATTTAATGCTGCTGTGAACAGTATTGCCGTATTATGACGTTAGTTTGGTGTGGGAGGAAAGCCCAAAGTATACAGGCTTTAGACGTTATATATTGACACTAGGATGAAGCCCACAAGAAGTGGTATGATGCTCATAAACCTAGAAACATAATCAGGGTGAGCCTGGATTCAATCCCACGAACGTAATTGTCTTGCACGCCAATGGGAAGCAACTCTGCACGGCGAATTACACTGCCTTGGGACAACTGGGCCCAACGTGACGTTAGACGTCAGAGGGACGGATAAAGATGACCAGATACTTGATTGATAAAACTGAATCTCCTTTCCGAGGAACATACACACAAGCATGGTACGGAATGAAGAATGAGTGGCTGTCGACAGAAACGGTTAGGCGGTATACAGTATAGTGATGAGATATGTCACGGTGTCTTAAGGATTTCAGAGCAATGACAAAACCGGTACTGTAATTCTAGCATTGCTTCTGGTTCTGCATTTTTGAGTACTATTTGAAAGTCATTTCATTCATGTGCATGGTGTGAATTGATATACTCTCCCCTAAAAAAACACAGGATCATGGAAGTTAAACGTTACGATGGTCGCCGTTAGCATGATCAGCTTTTTTGAAAAATTACTGCCAGAGACAAAAACGGTTTCGGAACAAAAAACTGACAGCCCAACATACCTGAAACACTGCACGAGGGAGGGGTCATTATTAAATTTGAAACTTCCGTGAAAGGTAGTTAAATCTCCCTTAGTCATTAGTGTTGTTGATTTTTGTTATCTGCAGTATTACATTAAACCTCTGCTCTTTCTATAATAAGTATTTTTGATCAGACTGTTAATGTCTACAACACGATGGACACATGAGTACTATCTGCATTCTTCAAACATGTGCAACTCAGCCAGAGGTGTAGCCAATACGTTCAATGTGCCTCTAGTCTATGATTTGCAGACTTTTCAACAGGTTTCTGCAGACCCGATATTGGTGATCTCAAACGTTAATTATTTTACTTCATACTCCTGTCGTCTTCCTTAACCTTTTTGGCACCCTTGCAATACACTGTCAACTTGTTCTGTTGATTGTTACACCTAGCCCTCCCTTGTTCTAATCCATCTATTACTATCACTCGATACCTCTTTGTATTTATGTAATCGTCTGTTATTTTCGAATATTTCCTACTCTTTTGGGAGAGTATAAATTTGATTTGTCGATTTCTATCGGTGACATGCCGTGTAAATGCTGTTCCAAACAGCGTAAAACCCAACTCACTCACTCCACGCCTATGTGGTTGGTTGGTTTGTTGTTTCTCAGCAATATTCCACCTATATGGAGGTGGTCTGTAAATAATCGAGTCTGGATCAGATAATCCACTGATTAATATCATGAGTATCGATCCACGCAATCAACCAAGTCAGCAAGCCTGACCACCCGATCCCGTTAGTCGCCTCCTACGACAAGCATAGTCGCCTTTTACGGCAAGCATGGTTGCTGAAGACCTATTCTACATCATGTCAAGCAGCGGGTGGTCGCAGACTTCAGTGGAGCGCGTTCTGGACGTCCACGAGTAACGTCACGTCGGTGAGATAATCATATCCGTCATATTCATCTGTTGAATGAGTTTCAGACTGCAACCTTGACAGCATCCTCGGCTTACCGTATTTTCTCGATCAAACGCCCTGGTGTGAAGGTCTTTCAGACACTCTCTACCGTGTCGGTACCGTGACGAAGCTATCCGTTCACACGTCATCCCGTTCTTTCAGACCCATGGACGTCACATTACTTTACAGCATATTTGTTTTTTATTTTACGCCGCTTTCAGCAATATTACAGCTATATGGAGGTGGTCGGTAAATAATCGAGTCTGGACCAGACAATCAAGTGATTGATAGCACGAGTATCGATCTACGCAATTGGAATACGATGACATGCATCAACCAGGTCAGCGAGCCTGACCACCCGATCCCTTTAATCGCCTCTTACAAGCAAGGTCGTCTCTTGCGACAAGCATGGGTTTCTGAAGACCTATTCTACAGCATGTCAAGCAACGGGTGGTCGCAGACTTCAGTGGACAACAGAACTTCGTCACACTCCCACGACCTGCTGTTTCGCTAGAGCTGTCGCCCATCGAAAATGTTTGGAATGAAATATTACGTCGTTTACGCCTACTTCTAAAGCAATAGGTCTCGTTGGTCCAGCTGCAGCAGGCACCCGTCCAGATCTGGAATGAGTGAATGGATAAGTATTGTTTTACGCCACTTTTAGCAATATTCCAGCAATATCACGGCGGGGGACACCTTAAATGGCTTCACGCATAGTGTCCATGTGGGGAATCGAACCAGGGTCACACACACACACACACACACGCACGCACACGCACACACACACACACACACATACACGACCCATGAAGATCCGGGGTAGAATTTATTTTCAGCAACCCATGCTTGCCGAAACAGGCGACTGTGTTTGTCGTAATACTCAAAAACATTAATTTAATAATTTTGTATGTCTGAGTTAGTCGGTGAGTATGGTAATGTGAGTGAGCGTTGATTCAAGCCAAAGACACATTACAACATTGTCATGATGGCCTGTCAATAATCGAGTCTGGATGAGAAATCAGTGGCGTTGTATATACTATGAGTAACGGCATACACTGTCGTTGTACGGTGACGCAATCGACCAACACACTGAGCCTCATCTCCCAATCCGATTTAGTCCCCTGTTTGGAAGACGCAATGTTTATCTCTTCATAAAATAAACATATTTTGCGATTGGTGAAGTGTAATTATCGTATCGCATATGGAAGTACGTAACAGATGGTCGATTCTTTTGAAAGGAATATTTTTAACATGTGTAGATTGATAAAAAAAATGCTGTAAATTCTTTGTACAATCCTGACATTATTAAAAGTCTTCACACAAGTGTCTGAATCAATCACTATCCGGATAACCAGGTTTAATGCATAATAGGCCCATATGTCTCAGAATGAACGCAGAAATCATGTTTTATCATACAAAGCTACTTTTTTCACAACAACAACAATAATGATGATAATAATTAAGGGTGAAACGATCTTTCGATGCATCGCGATACTTGACTCACGATACGATATACGATAAAGTGGGCCCATTTATCGATACGCCACGATACGGAACGCAAATCTCAAGTACAGCGTTTCCTCGCTATTGTGCC